TCATCCTCATCCTCATCCTCATCCTCATCCTCATCCTCATCCTCATCCTCCTCATCATCCTCATCATCCTCATCCTCATCCTCCTCATCATCATCATCATCCTCATCCTCCTCATCCTCATCCTCATCATCCTCATCCTCATCATCATCATCACCACCATCATCATCATCATCCCATTCTTCCGTTGATGTTACATTCTTTTTCAAGATCCTTGCGGCCTTTGGCGCAGCACCAGCAGGTGCTCGATGTCGGTGCTGGCACCGCACCCTGCAAGCCCTTCATTCGGTCCTTGGGCTACACATACACAGCGCAGGTGCGATTTTTTGATGGTGACGTGGCTGTGGCGAGATGTGGTGAAATTAGGCACGTGCCAAGCGCGGAAATTGTTCCATGTCCTGGGCGATAATCCTTGTGAACAAAGGGGTTTGACCAGTGGTTTGACCATGGGGTCTCGAACACAGAACACGTTGGCCCATGTTGCGTACGGTACGTGGTCTCAGCGAGAGCCTTGGAACACATCCCAGTACGGGCAGCAGTGAAAATAGGCTACACTGTAGCTACACCCCTCATCTCTCTCAAACATACATGGACCGCTGCAATAGACTCAATACGATGTTCAGTTTTTATTCTAATGAGTGGCCTATACAGAGACATTGCAGCTAACAATGGCCAGGGATAGGGAAGATGCTGACATGTCAAAAGCTCGATCCAGATCAACCTCGCTTCGTAGAGCCTGTTTGTTGCATCATCCAAGATATGAACACGTTAGTTGCTTGGGGGATCCCAAGTTCAGGTTTCCTCAAGTGTTTCGACTCATCCAAGCTCACCCCGAAAGATGTGTTTTCCCGTTTCAAATGCCAGTTTTTGACGCGTAGGATGCGATGGAATACGCTGGCGCGGAAGGCATGGCTGGGTCTGTGTTCCTGTATCTCGGTTGCCTTCGCTGACCTGTTTCTTGTTTCATCACAAGGTCTCAAGTTGTCAAAGTTTCAGCTTGACTCAATCATCTTCACCAAAACCCACCGAAGCAAATTGAAGCAATCTTGGTTGTTTTATCGTCCTATTCAGACTGAATCAAGGCATGGCTATGCGGACATCGATGTGGTGTCGGATATCACTGCGATGCCTTTACCCAACAACTCCTTCGATGTGATCATTTGTACTGATGTACTGGAGCATGTGCTTTTTCCACGAGAGGCGGTGCATGAAATTGGACGGCTTCTGAAGAGCCATGACGACCCAAGAGCCACGAAACGCTCCGCTTCGATTCGCGTACACCGGCCGGGGGTCCAATCTGGGGTCGCTGAATCCCGGGCCCGATCCAATGGGAATCCAGTTGGTGGACGCTCCACTCGTTTCGTCAAACTACACTCCATGAAACAATTCATGGTGAAGTGGATGGTGTGCCCCCTTGGATGACTGTTTCCTTCTAAACCGGTGGTGAAATCCACTTCGATTGCAGGGAGCAGAAGTCAACCTCGATTGCAGGGAGCAGAAGTCAACCCAGAACCCACCATGTTCACGGAAACCAATGGATGACACCGATGACACCTGCTAATCCAACACCGTTTGGCACGTCTCGCACGTCTAACTTTGGAGTCCGAGACACGGGCGCAAAGTGCGGACGAAAGGGCCAATGGCAGCTAGGATCCCGTCCCAAATCCAAAAGGCTTAGGCTTAGACCTTTGGCATTACCTGGTGGCTTCGATTGCTATCAGAGAACAATGAAAAAGCAGAAACCTCCTAACATGCTCAATTGGACCACCTTCTTTGCATGGCGAAACAGCTCCAGGCCGACCGGGAGGGTGTTTCTTGATTGCTCAACAGTCGACTCAGATGTCGACTCTGTCTACAATGGATTCCGGAGGTGAGGTTGGATTCCTGGAAGGGGAGCCACCCGGCCCGGGCCACTGAAGAGTGGATTGATGGGATGTATGTGGATTTATGAACACCAAGGACTGGAGGAATGGCCTTTTTTTCAAGTTCCTTTCGGAGGACTTGCCGTGACTGCCGGTCAGCACGATTTTTCTTGGCTCGGGTTCGTTTGAGAGATGGCCTTTCTGGGTTATGATGAGCAGGAGGGTCATTGTACACTCCCTCGTTTAGCAGGTGGTGCGTGACAAGTGTTGTGCTTATTTGTTTAGAGAAAAGGCGACTTGTATTTGTTCTTGCTATGTGGCTGCTGCGGCCAGGAGCCCTCCACAACTTACCGCATCACTACTATGCTGGTTTTACGCATTTGTGGCTCCTTGGACTGCCTTACTTACCTTTTTGAAGGCCTTTGGGCTGATCCACTTGGTCTTCAACAAGTCACCGTTTTTGAGAGAAAAGGACGACCACATGCGATTTGGGCTACCCCTCCGCCTCCACCACCTGTATTGTTTTTGAGAGACACCACGGCCATTTTTGAGCCGTTGTAGCGTGCTCATCAGAGATGCGAGGCCTAGACTAGAAGTAGGAAATCACTTGGTTGCCCACATCTACAAGAACATTGTTCATGTGTGATCATTTTTTAGGTTAAGCCACCCTCAGTGTCACCACTGGAAAAATAAACATGGATATAAATAGCAGATCAAGGGGCATCGGCTGAGCACTTGGCGGCTAAAAAGGTCTTTGCCAGATAGTGTTTCTTGCTGGTGGCGGACACAGACACCAAGAGTCCATAGACTTGTGAAATGATTTCTTGCAAACCCATGTCAGGTTTGAGAACATCTCGGCAGAGATTGGACTGGACCCAGTTCCTTGGCGTATGAAGAATAGTGCTCAAAGTTCTTCACCAACTCCGGACCTGGTGCTTCAATTCGTTCCTGGCACCCGTTTTGGAGCTGGCTTTCTCCCAGCCAATTGCAGTGACAAGCTGGTGCAGCCATGAGCCAATTTGCAAACCCCCTAGTTTCACATGAGAGGGTGTGATCCAACAACAGTCTGCTACAGACTGTTATTTCTTGGGATTGAGAGTGGGATCATGTGGGGGGATTCTGGAAATTGGAACCAGTGTCCTCAAATTACTATGCAAGATGAGAAGAGGTGCCTATACTAATATCATCCTACATCATGTCAGCAAATGGTGGGACCTTCCGCAGAGCAGCACCACATTAACTCTGGACGCAAATCCCAGTTGTGGCAATTGTTTGTTCAAAAATGATTCTATGATTTGTGCAAGGGGTGCTGCAGGGAAGGACATTGTTTTTGGTGCTTGTAAAAACTGCCCCCATGTGTTGCACCCTTTTCGCGATGTTTGATGTATGTCATAGTCAAAGATGTGCAAAATAGGCAGGGTGTTACTCAGGACTCACCGACTCACCTACTCACTCGCGATAAAATATGTGTTTGTCATAATCAAAAATAATGTGCAAAAAAGTGGGAACCCTTCCCCTCCCCATGTGGCCATCACCGATCCAGACAGCTTCCTTGGAGTAGCTGAACGGCTGCATGTCTTCACTTTCAGGTGTGTCACCCACCAGAAGCATCCTCCACACCCAACGGCCGTGTTCTTCACCCCACCCAAAGCATCCACGCGCACGCGCGGCGCGGCTCGAGACCAGCGGCCTACCTCTGAGGCTTGGGGGTATCATTTCGAGACCTTGGGCAAACGAATCCAACGATCCTTGCAATCAGAGGAATGCCTGACGCTCGGATGGACTCGTGTGGGCCGTGACACCTCACTGCGTGGGTCGAGTGAGGGAGCCATGGTAGCGTCACGCGTGTGATGCCCCCCCAAAAAAAAAAGTGGCAGGGGCACTCTGGCAGGGGGTGACATGGGAGCAGAATGGACACACTTGGTTCGGGGAGAGCGCAGGGAGGTTCCAGAAGAGCAAGTCAGTGTGCAGAAACCACGGCGATGATCGAGAATCCAGTCAACATACATATTTGGTTAGACGTGTATTTTAAGAAATAAAACATGAAAAAACAAAACATATGCCCATAGTTACACATATGCCCATTGTTCTTCCTAGAAGTGTTGTTTTGTCCTTCTAGGATTCCAAATGCTTTGATAGAAGTTATATAAGCATGTCGGACAGTTATGTGAAGATTGTGGATGCATTGTCGGCTTTTGTCAAAGCCAGGTTTGTCAGCACAGAGATTTTCTCCCCGGAGGGTCTTTCTCCGGTCCAGCAAACCCTCGATGACTCCATCGATGAAATTCTGCATGTGTCGATCGCCCATCTCCGTGCTCCAGCTGCCACACCGCTTTCCTCCCACGCTCCCAATTATCCAAGCATTTGACACATGTCACACGGATGTGTGCAACAAATGTTTGTAGTTAATTAATATTAACTATAATTGATGTGTGTGTTGAGAAACGAGTAAAACATTTAACATTGCAAACCAAGCACACATTTGTTAGTATAAATCCAGATGTTGGTACAGCGGTAGGTCTTAAAAAAGGAAAAAACATGTGCGTCCAACCATCGTCTTTCTCAGATGAACTCGCAGCTCTGTTTCGCTCCGAGGAGTGGGATCTTCGGCGGCTCCTCCGCAGCCGCCTGGAGACATCATGTGGCCTGGCGTTGGCGAGGTGTGGGCTCGCTCCGCCCCCTTTTTTGGGGGGGAGGTGAGGTTTCAGGAAAAAGGAACCCGCCAAGCATGGTGGGACAGATGTATTTGATTGTATGTGTCATGTTTTTTTGTTCTAATTCCCGAAAGCATTGCGAAGGGTTCTTCCGGAAAATCCTTTGAACACTGACACTTCGACACTTACACTTCGACACTCACACTGACACACTTACACTTCGACACTCACACTGACACACACGCACACACACACACACACTGGAAGAGCGAAAGCATCCAAGTGCGAAGTATGCCAGGGTCAAAGTATGCAAGTGTGAGTATGCAAGCAAGTGTGAGTATGGAAAATATGGAAAACTAGCACGGGAGATGTCCTAATGAAAAAACATTTCCCCACTTTATAAATTCTCTCTTAAAGGCGGAGTGTGGGACGAACAGCGTCAACCGAAAGTGCAACCCTCTGCGGAGATCGTGCGTGTGGAGTGCGCGAAATGCAGGCGAGAGTGCGATTTGTCCGGTCCGCGCGCAACCCTCTGCGGAGATCGTGCGTGTCGAGTGCGCGAAATGCAGGCGAGAGTGCGATTTGTCCGGTCCGCGCGCAACCCTCTGCGGAGATCGTGCGTGTCGAGTGCGCGAAATGCAGGCGAGAGTGCGATTTGCCGGGTGCCCGCGCAACCCTCTGCGGAGATCGTGCGTGTCGAGTGCGCGAAATGCAGGCGAGAGTGCGATTTGCCGGGTGCCCGCGCAACCCTCTGCGGAGATCGTGCGTGTCGAGTGCGCGAAATGCAGGCGAGAGTGCGATTCGCCGGCTGCCCGCGCAACCCTCTGCGGAGATCGTGCGTGTCGAGTGCGCGGAATGCAGGCGAGAGTGCGATTTGGCGGGTGCCCGCGCAACCCTCTGCGGAGATCGTGCGCGTCGAGTGCGGGAAATGCAGGCGAGAGGTGTGGAGTATCTGGGGAGCTGGGAGATGAGCACTGGTGACTTTGTAGTACAACTGTAGTACGCGGAGTAGCTGGGGAGCTGGAAGCTCAGAACTGGTGACTTTGTAGTACAACTTTAGTACACGGAGGAATCTGTGGAGCTGGAAGCTGAGAACTGGCGACTGCGTAGTACAACTTTAGTACGCGGAGTATAGCTGTGGAGCTGGAAGATGAGAAGTGGCGACTTAGTAATACAACGTTAGTACGCAGAGTAGCTGGGGAGTGGGAAGATGAGAACTGATGAGTGGGTAGTAGGTGAGAACTCGCGACTTTGTAGTACAACTTTAGTACGCGGAGTCGCTGGGGAGCGGGAAGATGAGAACTGGCGAGTGGGTAGTACAACTTGAGGGCGTGGAGTATCTGGGGAGCTGGGAGATGAGCACTGGCGACTTTGTAGTACAACTGTAGTACGCGGAGTAGCTGGGAGCTGGAAGCTCAGAACTGGTGACTTTGTAGTACAACTTTAGTACGCGGAGCAATCTGTGGAGCTGGAAGCTGAGAACTGGCGACTGCGTAGTACAACTTTAGTGCGCGGAGCAGCTGTGGAGCTGGAAGATGAGAACTGGCAACTTGGTAATACAACTTTAGTACGCAGAGTAGCTGGGAAGTGGGAAGATGAGAACTGGCGACTTGGTAGTACAACGTTAGTACGCAGAGTAGCTGGGGAATGGGAAGAGGAGAACTGGCGAGTGGGTAGTAGCTGCGAACTGGCGACGGTGTAGTAACTGTAGTGCGCGGAGTAGCTGGGGAGCTGGAAGATGAGAACTGGCGACTTGGTAGTACAACTAACACGTGCCTTTGATAACAGGCAGTGGAAGCCAGCTTGCTGGCTGCCATTGTCCAGATGGAAAGCCAGCACGCTGGCTACCATCATAGTTGAAGTGGGTAAGCCAGCACGCTGGCTGCCATTGTTGAGATGGCAAAGCCAGCACGCTGGCTGCCAGCCCAAATGCTCACGACGATGAGCTGGGCTGTCACCGCTTGGCCGCCGGTGGGGGGTTTGGGAGGCCGCATCGCACACAAACACCCACACACTCCCTCAACTTCCACGAACACACACATACGCAGACTCGTTTCCACACGGACATAGGCACACGCACAGAAACCCACACACTACCTCAACTCACTCGACTTAACACTTCTCACTACACACTTACCGGATAACTCGCACTCTGATTTCCTACGTGATGAAAAATGCTTTCGGGCCACTCGTCGTCTAGTGTGTTTTTTTGGTGGCTTCGGGAAGAAGAACCCGAAATCCTTGTTGGAGGTGATTGACACCTTGCTTGTGACATCTTGTTACTGTAAGTCTGAAAGCACCTGTCCTGATCAGGTGAGGGCAGGGAGTGGTTGACTTTCCTCTTTCTTAAGAAGTACTTAAGGAGTCCATGTCTCCCAGCCACAATGCCATTTGCAGGTAGGGATTCACAGTGTGAAGCTCACCTTTCACCAAGATTCATTGTGACTGGTATCATTTTGTGAGGTTTAATGCAACCTACCCACCGACCCCTGGGAAGCACCTTGATCATCATCTGTCACACGATGGGTGGAGGGTCCAGAGCATGCCCAAGCTGCGATCTGAGCGCAAGGCCTTTTTGGGTTGGAACTGCGGCTCGACCCGAATGGTCCGGGAAGAAGGTCGGTTTGCCAGCCTTGCCCTTCCGAGGTCGTCTCAGATCTGCCCGCGATACTGGAGCACTTGCGAGCCTGCCAGAGCAGCCCCGAAGGCGTGGTCGGAGGGAGGGAGGGGACCTCGGGAGGTGCTTGCAAGGTGGCTTTTCTGGGGAAGTACTGTAGTATTTCTATGTATTTCTATGTATTTCTTCTATGATTTCTTATTGATTTTGGTCTACGTGCAAGTGAGGCTTTCCGGAGATTCTCCTGTTCGGCCCCTTTTCTGCGCCACCGGGCCTTGACCAGCCGGCCCTGTTCTTTCGGGTCATGATGGTCGAGGTTTGCCCAGGTTTTGGCCACTTGAAAATTCTGTGAATTGGCCGATTTTTGCACCTGGCACTTCTCACCACCCTCGAACATGGAGTTCTGCGTGTTTGTTCGTGTGGCCCTTTGCTACGCCCCACTGTTCTTCACGTCGTCGCCCTCGGTGTGGCAGCACCAGGCGCTGTGGATCAGGCGTTCCCCTCAGGGATCCGCGCAGTGCTGGTGAAAAGTGGAGCGCGCAGTGGAGCGCGCGGAAGTGGTGACCGGGTGCTAGAACCTCGCTGAAGGAAGTCACTATATAATTGATTGGGCTTTCAAGCCAACCACTTGGGCGAAGCTCAACCACTTGGGCTGAACTTAAGCCAACAAGTGGTTGGGTTTAAGCCTCCTGAACCCTTATGAGATTGTACTGCATGTTTTTGTTCACTGGGGGCCCTTGCCAAAAGTCTGTTGGTCAATGAGAAAAGGTGTGATCATCTCCAGTGCAGAAGAGTTTCAATCATGAAAAAGTCTGGTGTGAAAACGTAAATGTACGTTTTTGCAGTGAAATGAATGATGTTTTTAAGCCGCACATCCGCTATCACTTCACCAAGTCTTGCAGATGCGCACAATGTCACAGCATATCTGAATCTAAGTACAGACTGCATTTATTCGCCAATCACTTGTTTCCATTGTTATGCCTCACCCAGTACGACCAACTGACGGACATCCTTTCAAAAATATCCTCCAAGTGAAACTGTTGCATAGGAACTAGTCAGACGCCCCACAGACTCCCAGAGCTGCGAAGCCGCGCGCGAGACGGGGCGAACCCAGACGCACCATGGCCCCCCGTTCGCGCCTGGGAGCGCTGGCGGTGCTGGTGGCGCTGGCACTGGCGCCGTGCTTCATTGCGAATGGCAGCGGTGGAAAGGGGCCACGAGCCATGGAACGTGGCAAGGCATGCCGTGTGCTTCGCAAGACACGCTCCAAGTGATGGTGGGAAGAGGGGATGACCAGATTGTTTGTCAGTTGCGCCACATTGTTGTAACTTCTGTGGAGTTTATATCAGGTGTGAGACCATGCTCTTTGGAAAGCACAGCATGGTCCACCAAGCCAGGAAAACGGTTCCCAGCTCAGCTTCGCTTGGTCGTTTGCTACGTCCCAGTCAGCTGGGCCTAAGGGCTTTGTGTGGACCACTACCCACTAGCCACTGTCCTGGACCACTACCCAGTTGACCTGGTTGGAGTGGATGCAACCTGCAAACCCTTTTCGGGGGATGGGGGATGTTGGTAGTGCTGCCATCGAATGGACAAGGCACGGGTGATGCCAACAGGGTTAACCGAGAGAGTCAGACAAGCAGATTTGCATGCTATGCCGGCTATCCCTCCTTCGGCAGATGCCTTCACTTCGAGCCCTGAGACTGGACATGCCAGTTCAGGCAAGGGGTTGGGGGGGCAGGCATGTGTATCATGAAACCTGCTGGAGCTACCAATTACCAACCACTGTGTTCTGAGGGCTGCACTGAGGGATTGAAATCCGACGTGTCAAGACAAGGGTGCGCTCGGCCAAGTGAGGCATTCATCTCGACCGAGAGGAAAATAGGATGAAAAGGGGGGAAGAAATATGAAGTATAAATCCTTATGATGGACACCCTCAATATCCATGCTTGCCTCAATCTCAGAGGAACCCTCTTGCCCTGTCAGTGGTGCTTATACTTCGGCAGTGACCCGCCAATCCTTCGACAGCGAAGTCGCAGGAGGGACAGGACTGGCTAAAAATCACTTGGGGTGTGGGCAGGACAGGGACCTCCCTGCACAAGCTCTATAAATATTGTTATGGGTCATCAGTAGCGCGACGCAGTTTTAACTCGAATTCGCCCCAGGAGATGATCGAGCCAGTGACAGACTTTGCCGGCAACGGATGCCTGGCAGAACATGCCGAATCGTCGAGTCAGCACAAAAAGAGCGATCCCCAGGAAAGATGCGTGATTCTTACCATGTTCATACCTAAATCGAATCATCCCGAATCTATCTAAGTCTATAATATATCTATATGTTTGTCCATGATATATATATATATATAGATAAACTTTTTTTGTGGGGGGGGATATTGCTTGACACAGGTGGACAGAGATAGTCAAGCCAAAATAGATTCCATGTTAATTCATTCAAAGCTGTAAGCCCTAACGAGACCTTGGCAAGCACTAACCTGCAGTATGACCTGAATTTGCACCTTGGAGCAGGATTCCGGCGAATTGCCACAGCCACACCTGAACAGTTTCCAGCGTTTAATCTCGCACAATTACTTCATGAACTTAGTAGAAAACGGCTCATTTTGGACGAAGCTCTTCCACAGGTGCTGATACCCATTTCGACAGCAAGTGTCAAATTCCCTTGTTGATCGATCAAGGATGCCCCTAGAAAGGAATTGGAAAACAAGCAAAAGGATCGATCTCACCTTGGAGAATCAAGATACACAGGCGATGTTCATCGGTGAACATTCAGCGATGTTTTTCTGCACACGTGGATCTTAGCTGATGTGTGCCAAAGATGTCCATTTCTTTTAGAAACATGAGATGGAAACAGGTCGATGACGGTGGATGGTCTGCCAATCTCTTGTTTCCACGAAGGACTCTGACATGACGAGAGTGCCCGGAAGAGAAAAGCGGCAGCTGCACCCAGTGCCTGAGGCACTGCGTTCGTCCTGAACTCCAAGTTGCTGTCCAACTCGGACCCCGCCGAGACGCAACGCTTCGACATTCCCGGTTTCAGCCCTGGAGTCTTGGCAGCCCAAAGACTAGTCTTCCGGGATGCTAAATGGATGAAGATGCTACTCTTGGATGTACAATGATGCATAATTAGATATATGCCCCTTGGTGCTAAGCACCATGGTTTGAAGGCAGGAACACGAACATGCCACTTCGACATTCTAACAAAAAGAGGGGAATTGGGCGGTCTCCTGTGTTTCTGTGATACACAGCATGCACAGCATGTCCGTTCCACGTGTCCCACCAATCCGTTTGCCGTGTGCTGCCTGAGGCTTCGTGGTTGATGGTGTCATCAGCACGGAAGCAACTTGACATTATTTTGTAATTACTGTACATGCCTTCTTCTTCGCCCATTCAACAGACCATGCAACTGGGGTATTTTCATACAGACCGTGATGTCTTCAGACACCTGGAAGGAAAACCCGGATGCCCCCGGTCGGTGGACCTCCGACTTGGTCGTCGCCACATCCAATCTGGACGCAGTTTGCGTCGCTATTTTCATCTATTTTCCAAAGCAGGAGGAAGGGAGGTAGAGAGAGGAGGAGGTAGAGAGGTAGAGAGGTAGAGAGGTTGGTTGGGTTGGGTTGGGTGGGTGGGTTCTTCCGTGCGCACTCGAGGACTGTCAGAAGGTGATCCACATTTCCGAGGAGATTGGTTTCCGGACTCGCTGGAGTCAAGTCGCCCCGCTTGGCACGAGCGGTTTCCGAGTGGGCCGCCGACAGGGGGGGGAAGAGATGCAGGTGGAAGTGACAGGGGTGACCTCCGGGATGGAGGTCTCCTTCTTTTTGGATGGGAGGATATGGAGGACCCATTTGTAAGTGGTGTTTGATCTTGTTTGATCGTTCTTTGTTGGGCTTTGGGAACTGCTTGAGAGAGTATTTGTGTGTCCGTGTTTTTTCCAAGACAGCTTGCATGACTCAGACCCCTGGGTTGCACTCAAAGTCCATCCCTTTCGAGGCTCCTGGGTCGCGTGAGGCCGAGGACTCGTTCGCCCGGGGGGCGTCCTCGCCGCCTTTGGAGTGGCCGCGCAAAAAAAGCGCGGACAGATGAGGTAGGGGCCGTGACCTTGTTCATGCCAGAGGACTTCTCCAACCGAATCTTTGAGAGACTGACACTTGGACGCAACATGATGCAACCATTCATTGATGCATTTTTATATAACCGGAGAGTAGAGCAGTTCATGCATCCAAAAGCCCTACCCATTGCAGTGCGGAACACATCAGCCCCCTTTGTTGGATTGGAGCAGGCCAATTCCAACGAGAATCAAGCATCCTGGGTGCCTCAGCCACCAGAAACAGAAACCGGACTAGCTGCTTCTCAGGCACCAGAATAGCCAGTTCTTGCTCATCCGGACCAAACCCTGGTTGGTTGACCATGTTCAGTAGTTCATTTTGGATGGGTCCACCACGAGCCGCCCGCCGTTCCCATGCCCCAGAGCCAACAACTGATGTGCAGCATGTGCCAGAGCCACACGATCTCTCTGCTCCGTGAGGAAGCCCTTCTTGCCCAAGCACTTTGGTGGCCGACCTATTGGCATCCATCGTCGTAGCATGGTCGATGTGGGGCTTTGGAAGGACAAAAAGCGTGTTTTTTGGAAGACTGTTGGAAGCCCTGAAGGCCCCGGTTGAACGGTGAGCTCGGGCTACGGAGCTATGGAGAGACCCAAGACCTAATTCGTTACGAGGCTCCCCCTCAAAAATCCTAAGCGACGTTTCGCAATGGATTTGCTCGTGGGGGGAACCAGTTTGCAATGGCTTTAGATAATTTTAGATCCAAACCAGACATCACTTGGCTGAGCGGACGATTTGTCAAGATGATGTGAACAATTCCATGGCCAAGCCTGGCCAAGCCAGCCCCCTGTGGCTCTATGAGTTTCTGCTGATGGGGCATCCCATTTGAGGGATTTCAAGCACCCTGGGCCCAGTCATCTCTTTGTTAATATTGTTTTCACATGTTTTAATGGACCGAGCAAAGCATCATCATCCTTTTCAAGCTCCTCTGCATCATCCGACAGAAGGTCTCGCTTGCGTGGAGGTATCTCAAGTTTGGCACCCTGCATGAGGCTAACTAACTAATGACGACGCCTTCTGGCGCCTGTGGGTGGCGTGTTACATCTCTCCTGAAACCCCCTGAGGAGGACCATTTCAAGAAAATTGAGTAAAAATGGGGTCGTCAATTTGGACATTAGTTTTTGTTATTTCAAGTACCTGAGTAATAAGAGTTTGTTTCCATCAGCAATCAGGATAAATTGGGATCAATCATCTTAAGCATGAGACACAATGCTCAGAGAGAAGGACTCTCTTCCACGAAATGATTGGACTCAGTCTTGGTGTAAATTCTCTTTGTAGCAACATGGCATGAAAGCTGTGACATTCTCTCTTAAAAAAGTCATAGTCTGCTCTGTCGGTTTTCAAACGGTCCCAATTGGTCAATTCTTTCACCAAAGTGCTCAGCGGGAAAACCTCCATACGCTGCTTTTCACTTCCAGCGGCAAGCCTTCGACAAATGCACCAGGAACTCTTGTCCCGTGACATCTCCATCAGCTCATCAGCTCTGAGGTTTTTGCGCCAGAGCCATTGGTACACACGGCGTTCCAACGTTGCATTCATGCAACTGACGCCTTTCATTTTTCCTTTTCCTTTTACCTGCTTCGGCATGAAGCGCTTCAGGCTTCCCCAAGCAGCATCGATGCACTGCGTGCCTCCGACTTTACTCAGCTTGGGCCGAGGAGCACGTCGAAGCTGCACTGCGTATTGTCGTTGCTGGTGTGACACCTGAGCCACAGGGATCTTCAGCTTCTTGGCAAAGGTTCGCCAGCTCGGAGCACCATCTGAGTAGATTGCTGTGTTCTTGTCTGCTCCAATGTACTTTGCAAGGCCTGACCTGTCAATCTCCCGAATCGATTCGACAGGCGGCCGAGCCTTGGGAAGAGCAACCTTCGGCGTCATGAACTTCACCACCATCAAGCCACCCCGCTGGATAGCGCCGACGACACGCACATGGACTGGGTAAGACTTCAAACAGGCCCGTTTCTTCTGCTGCAAATCTTGGATCTGGTCCGCGGAGAAGATGTTGTCAGGCTTCACAAAGAAGCGGCCGAGTGATGTGGCATCACACTCGATCTCCTGGCGGGGCCGGATCAACGACATTGCCTTCTTGCCTGCTGCAGCTTCACGCTCCGACAGAACACGCAAGAAGTTGTCCGCCGCGTTGTAAGACACGCCGTGTGCATGCACCAGGTCTGTGGCCACCACAGCTTTGGTATGGGACATGTTTGCGTAGCGCACCAACATCTGGACCAACGTGTCTGGCTCACACTGTAGGCCTGCAAAACAAGACTTCTGCAAAAATGCGTCTCGCATGTTGCACGCATTCCTCGCACACCTCCAATAGAAGTGATCCCTGCGGTCTTTACAAGAAAGACAGTAAGGACCCTTCAATGACTTCTGGCCGCAGTGTCGGCAAACCGAGCTGCTGGAAACGAACCCCTGTTTCAACAGCCACGAGCAAGCTTCTGTCTTTGTCAAAGTCAAAGGAGGAATGACGCTTCCGAGGACTCTTCTCACATTCTGCTTTCTCTCCTTGTTGGATCCGTAGCTCTTGGCTGCTACTTTTCTGTGCTGACCATCCTTGTGAGAATGGCTTCTGTCATCTTTCTTCTTCACGGAACTGCTAGCAGCTTTCGCTTGTTCGGAGCACTTCTTGCGCAAAGCCTGAATGACCTTGGCACCTGGCAGCTTGCATGTCTCCACTCTGTGCCCCCGTTTACCACAGCAACTGCACACAGGTGAAAGCCTCAAGCCATGGACCGAGTGCCCAGAAAGAGGGATTTGTATGGCCCCGTGCGCAATGACTTTTTGGACTACGTGTTCAGGGTGTGATGTTTTTGTGTTTGTTCCAAAGATTTGCAGGACTCATCGTAATCTGTTGAAACGGTTGCAGGAATCATGGTATTCTGTTGAAACAGTTGCAGGAAAATGGAATTCTGTGTAAAAGTTTGGGCTGGTTCTTTTTGTCAAATACGCATTGCTTCTGGGGCTGGTCGTCCTGCGCTCCCCTGCAGGAGACTTGAGGAGCCCAAAGGTGACGTGGAACCCAAAGGACAATCCGTCACACTGTGCATGTCCTGGTCCGGAGACTTCCGTTCGATGAGAACAGTGTTGCCGGCTGTGCTGAGCGACAAAAAATGGAAATCTCTGTGGCTGCGTCTTTTCCTGGGAATCAAGAAGGTCGTTGGATCGAATCTGTTGTCAATCACCAGACAAAATCAGTCTTTAAATTTTCTATACGCGCGTGAAAGTCGCGCCGTGTGCTTGGAATTTCTAGATTCGCTCTGACTCAGTGGCCTCTCAGAGGTGCGATTCAGCGACCCCGGCATCCAGTGTGGTCGCCGGCAGCATACTCTGGAGCACACTCGCAAACAATGTGCGAAAGCTGGCGGCAGCACAAGCGCAAGGGCAGCCACCCACAGATAACATGTATTCAAGATCAGCAGGAGCATCGTAGAGTCCATGGGGAACGTAATCGAAGAAAAGCCTGAGGCCGAAGTCTGCCATCACATGTGCGCCCGGTCCACCCGGTAGGAAAACACAGGCCACCAAGACGCAGGCCACCAAGACACAGGCCACAGAAGTCGAAGAAGTCGTGGTACTTGAAGAAGACACCAAGAGACATAT